CCCCATAGGACTGTAACCAAAAGACAAAGAGTCTTAAGCAGCCAGCACTCCCAGAGTACAGCAAGAGGCTACAGACCCAGGAGCTCAGTATTGATGTGAAAGAGGCCTATTAGCTTATCATCATAGCTGCAGCCTTCAGGGCAGGCTTTTAATTAAACACACATTGAAGGACTGACTATAAACCTTTTCTGAGACCTCAGAGGGCAGGCACTATCTTTAAACTCTCCCTCTGCCACACTCCAGAGTACTAACATGTCTTGGACGGAGCTCTTATACGTATCTGGTATAAGAGTCAGACTTTACATCCCAGTCTTTACATCTGGAACCCTGGTTTTTGTAGCTACTGCCCAGGAGATGATACCCTTTGATCACTTGGTTCTGGTGACCAGGGGGACTCGCATTCCTGGGTCCTATGGTAATGTAACAATTGGAGAGACAGCAGACTTCCACCTTAGGGCCCTGAAGAGACAGCAGATGAAACACCTGCTTAGCCTCTCTGTAAAAGAGGCCCACTTGCTTGACGTGAGCTTGGGCCATAGGGGGCGGACTTCAGATTTGGCACACATATCCGTTGGCTACAGAGATGCTCTTAGGGAAGATAGGCAGGGGTGGGAGGGGTGGGGGTAGAGGGGAATGCCATCTTTGTACTCTCCTTAGGCCTTACTACAGCTCATCCAAATCTCTCAGAAAGGAGAATAGACACTTATCTGGAGCCCCAAATTTTGCAATTGTTACCTACTCAGTCAGCATGTGACAAGCCAGCCCATCACCTTGCTCTCTTCTCCCTTTCTGCCTTTTGCTGAACCACTAAGAGGGAACACAATGTAATGGAGAGACAGGGGATCTGGTCCAAATGTTGGGTCTGTCAGTTAGCTCCTGTTTGTTCCCTGAAACTTGTCAAGGACTCCCGTTTGCAAGTAACAGATACTCAACGCAAAGTAACTTATGAGTGAAAAATTTTATTAGATTATATTACGTCATCTAACAGAAACATCCAGGGGCTAATATGCTTCAAGCACATCTAGACGCAGGGAGTCGAGCATAGTCAGACATCTCTGTCCTTCTTCCTTAAGCTTTGCTCTCCACATTATTGCTTCATTTTTTGTGTGAGCTCTCCCAGCGTTGTTGGCCATGGGTTGGTGGGTCCCCAAAGAAAAATGATGCTAACACAAAAAGAAAAAGGAGAAATTAATGTTGGGCAGGCATAACTACTATGATAATAATAGTGACTTCCTCACAGCCCACTTGTGGTAAGGATTGAGTGAGGAATAATACATAAAAGAGCTATATGTAATTAGATGTTATCTCCAAAGATACTCAGACTCGTGCCCTCTTCCATGGTGTCTTTTTTTTCCCTCCATCCCCAAATTCAGCCCTACTTGGGTAATAATGTATTTTGAAATCATAAAAATTATTTGGTAACAGGTAAGAACTAATAACTTTCAAATAAAAACCTAGATTTCTGACTGTTCTTGATAAGTAGTAAGGCCTGGCAATAATCAACTGTGTCAAGATGGGGTTCCCCCTCACAAAGAGCAGATTTTGCCCAGTCTGCCCCCAGCCAGTCTTTCCGGTCTTCACAGCCTCGTGCTCTACCACTTTTCTCTAGGAACCTCCTGCTTCTGCCTGGTTCTACCCACACCTCCAAGGCTTTGCCCAAAGGCCTTTCCTCTTCCTTCTTACCATTCTAGATCCCGTACATCCTACAAGGCTAATTGAAGTACCAGAACCCCCTCGAATCTCCTCTAAGCATCCCAGCTCTCAGAGCTCTGTCTTTGAGATAAGGACATCTTCTGTGTAAGGGAATCCAGTGACAACCAGGACTGTACAGGCTGTGAGTCCCAAAGTGGCTGAGTGCATGGGAGAGCCACTGGCATTGTAAAACAGACAGGGATGTTTAGAGAGATGGCAGAGGTAGGTGATTACACCATCCTGCAGATAGAAGATAAATAGGAATTGAGCAAACAAAAAAATTATTGAAAAATTTATCATCTACTTTGAAATAAGCCTCTATATTTATAGTTCAAAATATATAAACACACAAAATGTGCTCCTTTACTGCAACCAGTCTTTAAAGAATTATATTGATAGCACAGCTTAGTTTTAGAAGTAAAAATGTCAAGGTAGTTGGTGTTCAGGGTTTACTCCGCAGCCTTAAAGGAGAATTGTGAGTAGGAGTTAGGGTACAGCTAGAATCGGAAGGCTGAAGCGTGATTTCCCATGACTGATGGATGAGGGCTTCTACATTTTGTTTCAATTCCCTCTTATGGTAAAATAACATTTGGAGATTGTATTCAGAGAGCTAATATTAGAACAGTTTAATCTATGAAGTTCTCATTGATGTAGACAAATGGGAGTAAATAGTGTGTGATGTAAACAGTTTCCTATTACTCAGAGAGTAATAACATGATTCCACCATGTAAAAGTATCCATTGTAGCAATTTAGGTAATAGTGATGTGGCTGACCTCTCATTTTCACTTCTGAATTAAAAAGAAAATATAGTATAATATGCCCTTAACTAAGTAAAATTGTTTCCATGTATATGGACAACGATGGTGAGACAAATATTCAAAAATTAAATTAGCTCTTGTATTAAGGAAGTGAGGAGGCTTATAGGTGATTTTAATACATATTTTAAAAGTACTTAATTTTGACTCATTCTCTGTCAACTAAAAGAGGATATCCATCCACTTGAAAGAAAGGAATATTGTCTTCTTAAGGAATGTTGTCTGACTTAAGGAAAACTGATATGTCACTTTCCAGATACCACAGACTTTGAGGGGGAAGGGGATGCTTTAAGTGCAAATTCACCTTAGCAGATCTCACATCAGTTTGCCCAGCATTATTTGGTTCTTTAAAGGTGTCACACTGCCCCCTAGTGTTCAACAAATTAAAATATAATATCTCCAATGGCTACTATAGTTTTCTTTCTGTATTTTCTGAATAATCAAGATGATGATGATGTGTGAGAGAGAGAAAGAGAGAGAGGAATGTCTCAAATATAAATTTGTGGGTATTCTATGGCTTAATATTTCATAATTTTAAAATAACCTATAAAATATGTTGTTTAAGCTCTTAATGGGCAGGTTTACAGACTTTAGGTGCCTTCAAGTGACAGAACTTGTTAGCAGGACTCTGGAAGACCTCACACACTTCAGGTGACATAGAAATTATTAACAATTTCCAAAGGTTTGCCACTCCCTAGTAAAATGGGTCCCTGAAGAAGCAACAGGATTACCTAACCCTTGAAGAACCTTTTTCGAGATTTTGTTTAAAATCTTTAAACTGGGGCACTTGGGTGGCTCACTTGGTTAAGCGTCTGACTTTGGCCCAGATCATGATCTCATGGTTCATGAGTTCAAGCCTCATGTCGAGTGTTGACAGATCAGAGCCTGAGGCCTGCTTCAGATTCTGTCTCCTCCTCTCTCTGCCCCTCCCAGGTTCATGCTCTGTTTCTCCCTTTCTCTCAAAAATAAATAAATATAAATAAAAAATACAAATAAAAATAAAATCTTTAAACCAATAAATAAATAACTAAAGTAGGTGAGTAAATATTTTGAGCAATCCTTGTGTAATAAAACAGTAGCCACATATAACCCAAGGCAGGGCCATATCCTGCTTTAGTAGAGTCTGAAGTGTGTATATAATTTGCAGGATACTTACAAAAAACTTAAAGATACCCACTTTTACAATTTTATGAAGATCATAAACCCTTACAGGGTCTTAGAAGAAACTTCTGGCCCATGAAGGCTCCAGTTTTATAGCTTTGGAGGAAATTGGCTTCTGATTTTAAGATACTATTTAACTGCAACTTCTGGGCTTCACTTTGAGCATATAATTCAAAGCCTTAATAAATTAGGGAGCATGTACAAATTCAGTAACGTGGTCACATTTTTGTGACCTTTATAGCCTCTGGCTACTGAAAATTAATGGTCTTTGAACCATTCTAGTCAAGTGAAAATAAATCAGTTTGTTTACACAGAAACAACTTTAATCACCTTATGTGTGGGAAGAATTACAGAAGATCAGATACTTCTAGAAGTCTAGAAGAGATAGTAATGGAATTAGTACAACTATTTAAAACTATCTTAAAAGGCTGAATCTTGACAGTTGGTCTTCATTTTTGGCTAATTCCCAGAAGAGGATGGATTGTGTTCACTGACCACGTGTGTAAAACTAGTTGTTAATCTCAAAGATTAGAAACTGGTCCAAGTGGAAAAAAATTACTCAGCTTTCATAAAGAAGAACTTTCTGTTATCCAAGGCAGAAAATGACTTTGTTTTGATACTAATCACAGGAAATAAAAAGCTTTCTTGGGTAAAATCTCAAATAGTCACCTAATCATGTGTTATTTTTTTGAGTAGTTTATAACATTTTCAGTATTCTGTCTCCTCTATCCATTTCTTTATTTACTTATTATATATTACCTGTTTCCTTCCACAGTATGTAAAAATGCATGACCACAGGGCTCTTGACTGTCTTGTCCCAGAGGGGGGCCACTGCATTTGACCATGTGGACTACACTGTATAACACGGGATTCCCTTCACCTTGAGGTCTGTGTGAATGGCATCTCCTAGGGCTGCATTGCAGTGACTTTCCAGAGCCTATGGCTGACCTTGCCACAGCAGAGTCCCTCAACAGTGCTGTGTTACTCAATGTGTAAATGATATGTCAGCTATTTATTATTCTCAGTTGAAATATAGAATGAGAAATTGATAGGTTTTGAGTCCCATAAATCTAAGTACATTTATACATGCAAACTAGTTTCACTTTGATGACTTTTTTTTTTTTTTTAACTAAGATGACTCTTGGAGACTGACTTAGCTTAGTCAAGTCTGTGAATGTCAACAGTACAGGTCTTCTAATTTTCTGTTACATTCTATGTGTTACATTTTCCCTGTCTCCAAAGCCAGTTCCTTCAGACTCCTTGTGCTTTTCTGAGTCTGTGGGCTGTGACCAGGGAATGACAGTGCACGTGCTCATTTCTTTTTCCCCCAGCATTCAGAGAGCCTGGCGTGAGTACCTGCAGCGACAGGACCCCCCGGAGAAAAGGAGCCCGTCCCCGTCCTCTGTGTCCTCAGAGAAGCTGAGCAGCTCTGTCAGCATGAACACCTTCTCAGACAGCAGCACACCCGTGAGTGCCATGTTTCCTTTTTATGGCCTGACTGGCCAATCATTTGATCAGCAGGTCTTTGATTCCAAGGAGAGACTCTCAAGATGTGAGCAGGTGGTTCATTGATAGGAGGATCTGCATTGTTTGTTTGCTATATTTGAACCCATGGTGAGGGTTTTGCCATCTCAGAATGAAGACGTGATTCATAAGCACAAAGTGTACTTCATCAAGTCTGACAGAATCCGTTGCATTTGACCTCAGCCCAAGCTACTCATTTGTGTGTTTGCATTCCTCTGTTACCAAGAGTATCTTTTTCCTTTTCTTTGTAACAGTGTGTTCCCTTTAGTCTGTGTCTCTGGTAGAGTTTTGTGGTGCTAATACAACAGAAGATTAGCTTGGTTATAAGGATTATAAAGAGGCATTTTATAGGAAGAATTGAAAGGGGTCACAAACTCAGAGGTTGGAATTCAAATGCCTACAGGGGCCATGTGGCTAATGTGGGCTAGGTTATCACCTGGCTACAGAAGAACACAAGCCTCCCCTACAGGGGCCCCACTTGGCTCCTGGATAGGTTGCCATCTGGGGAATTCTGGCCAGACATTGCCAAGTGTGATTTCTTCTCCCAAGGGATGCCAGAAATTCAGATTTTTTAATGTTGGCAACTAGTAAAAAAATTTTTAATGTAACTAGACCCTGCCTGGAGATCACAAGTGTCCTGGGTACCGGGTTTAGATATGGATGGACAAACCTGTTGAAAGTCTACTTAACAGCAACAATATCAGACAGACAAAAGTGCCAACTGTGGTATGAAATATATGATCAGGCAACTGTAATGCAGAGGTTTGTGGATATGGCCGCTGTGATCATTTATGACAGTCACTGGAATTCACGGAAAGAAGTTAGGAAGAGAAATGAAGTAACTATATATCCAAGTATATTATTTAAAAAATGTTTCTTGACTGCTTTGTAATCATGTTTATTCAGTGGTAAAAAGACTTCCCAGCAGCCAAAATAATGCATTTACATTGGTATTAAGCAAAGATTGCTTTGACCTGTTTTCAGATGATTACATTGCATGTTTTTTTAATAAATGGTTTTATCTAGTTATGGATCCTAAATAAGGAGCAGTAAGTTGAGCTTATAGCTGTGCAAAAAACAGTGGCAGAAGGTCTGTTTTTACCAGACAGTAGAAATTGAATGTGAATAGTCAGTGAATCTGTACCTTAAAACAATTTTTGGAGGGAATGGTCTTAACTGGTGTCACTATCACTAGAGGGCGCCGATGAGCCACATTGGAAAATATAAGTAAAGTATATGCTTATCTCATGGTTTGGAAGTCAAAAATAATATGAACATCAAGCGTTTAGGATGCTTTTTCTGTGAATGACAAAATAATTCAATAGGAATTAAACGACTGAAGATTTGATCTGAATGATGAAATCTAAATATGAGAAATCATTCTGCCTGTGAGTTAAAATGTTTGGATTTACTGCCTTTGTACTTTCTCATAGTCCCAGTTCCTGACAGTATCACCCATTGCTTTGTCCAGTGCTACCTGACAGCGTTAGTATTGCTTTAGGGTGGTTGACGTTTTGACTTTATTGAAATTCTGGAATAACTTATCTTTGTTTTACATTTACCCTGTCACATCACTTATGTTCTAGAGCACCTTAAGTATCTTTGCACATAAATGCACGTTCTTTCCTCTATGGGTCATCACATAAATGTAATGTGAAATATCTTTTGCACAGCTTTGCTAACAGTTCTACCTTATTTAATTTATCCCGGCCTCCCGGTTCCCTGATGTTTCTTAGTAGAGCAGATTTCCTCTCTCAGATGTCCCCAGCAATTTTGTTTCCTTTGAAGCATCTCAGAATGAATTGGGAGGGGCATCCTGCTCCACCACCATGTCATCATGCCTTGTCTCTGTGCTCATAGGACAAAGATAACTCTCTTTGTTGCGTGGAAGTCTGCTCATTGCTGATGGCCTAAATGTTTAGTGAGAACCCAAACAGTTTCAAAAAACATTATTGGAATTCGCTTCAGAAGGCAAACAGACTCTGCCCAGAATTCTAGTAGAGGTTATTGATTATAACAACAGCTGTGGCATTGATGGTGGCAGTAGCATGACCCTAAATATGCAAAATAAAATATGAAAATATAAGTTGTTAGGACATTTCCAAGTCTCTAGTTTGTTAGGCAGATAAAATAACCAGTCCATAATTTTAAAAAAACTTCATGCTTAGTTGTTTGGACTGGTATGTCTAGCTAAGGTTGTTTTATTTCCCATGATCATCACTTTGCTGGGACCTCTTTTGGAACATTAATTATTACATTTTTTTTAGTGGTCATAACCCCATGAAAGGAAAGTGATTGTGCTCTACCTTGATCAGCCTGCCAGACCCACTGGGTTCATATATCCTATCAGGGAGTTCCAAGTAGGAAGACTTGGATTTTTTAATCCAAGACTCTTTAATGAGTAGACCTAAAGTTTACGGAGGGGATAGAATGAGCCCTGGACCAATTTGGCTAAGCCTGTCATAAAGAGATGAGTTTCCTCTAATAACCAAGAGTCCATTTGGAACTTCAAGGGTAAAAGCCTTCAGTCCAAGTCAAATGCTCTCAATGAGATGTCTTCCTGGAGGATTTTCCGAGACCCTGACCAGATACCTCCAGCTTGCTGAACTCAGCCCTCTTTCTCTGGGCTTGATCTGTCACGATTGCTGCCTAGATCATTCTCTGTCTTCTCGAATTTGATCAGCTGCCTGTCTTGTCCCAAGTACTAACCCTCTACTGTCTTCTAACACAGCCTCAATTGGAGGCCAGTCTGCCCTTGTTTAACCTGTGGGCCTTTCCACCTGCTCTGCCTGCCCTGTGTCTGTATAACTGCAATTACTGCCCACAAAAGCTCTCTGCCCCAGGCATGTGCTGCATGGGAAGCCAGCAACCTGATCTGAGTGAGTCCTGGCTGAGCTGAGCATGGTTCTCTTGTATGCTTTTGCTCTGTTTTAGCTAAGTATAATGGTTAATGTAATTCTTAGAATATTTCTGCTCTAAAATACATAAGAAGAGTAATATTTCAGTATGAGCTCTCAAAATCATCATCTTAATAAGAGCTGAGCACTTGTATGTGACAGGCACCTTGCTAATGCTTTCCATAGATTATTTCATTTAATCCTCTCAATGACCATAGGAGGGAGGTACTATTATTATCTCCATTTTACAGATGATGAAAATGAGACCTAAAGAGATAACTAATTTGCCTGAGTTACTCATTGGGCTGAAGCCATCATGCTTCACCTTTCTACAATATTGTACCACCTGGAAATAAGCCTGCATTTAGACATGGTCAAGCAGAGGAGGAAATAATCAGTGCATCAGTACATTTCTAAGACTCTTCTACAATTTAGTAGGTATAAACTGTGAATGAAATAATTGAGGGGCACCTGGGTGGCTCAGTTGATTAAGCTTCTGACTCCTGGTTTTGGCTCAGGTTATTATCTCAGTTCATGGCATTGAGCTCATGTCTGGCTCCGTGCTGTCAGCACAGAGCCCGCTTAGGATTCTCCCTCCCTCCCTCCCTCCCTCCCTCTCTCTCTCTCTCTCTTTCTCAGCTAAATAAATAAACTAAAAAAGGAAATAACTGAAAAAAGAATCCTCCTTTCATTTATAAATTGCCTAATTCAGTGCTTTGCTTAAAGCCTCAAGCCTCAGCTGCTTGATGCCAAATTAAAGAGCAACAGGAGGGACGATATATATTAAGTTATGTTAGCAATTTGCATATTAAATGTACTTATACAGCAATGTATCATGAGGTAACAGAAAACTTTATTTTAGAAATAGCAGTTTTGAGTAGTAAGTTATTGGGAAATGGAACTTGTGGGTATCAAAGTGAGAAAGAATACTTTTTATCATAAAAATATTATTTCATGTAGGACGACAGTAGAAAATGATTTGTGTACTTTATTAATCAATTTCATATGACTTATTCTTTTAGTTACCAGCTTTGAAAATTCTGTAATTTGTCTGATAGAATATCATGTAAAGAAATGGTACATTTCTAAATGTAGAATGGTACATTCTAAATGACTGGATAACCTCTTCACAAGTCATTAGCATCCCCTTCAGATAAACCCAGAAAAATTTTTGGGTTGTGTAGAGACATTTTTGGTCCCATTTGATTCTCTCTGCCTGGGCCTTCCTTCCTGGCCATGGCTACTTATTTCCATTGATTCCTATATTATTATGATGTGGCCTGTAGGGGGCTCTGTGGCTCATGGAATGAGACCCTGACTTACTAAGGGAACATAACTTAATAGCAGTTCTGCCACAATTTTTTTTTTTTTTTTTGAGTCTAAGATGTACCACTTGAGACCATTCTTCATCTGCAAACTGGAAATAACACCCACTTTATAGATGGGTTGGTATCACTGTGAAGATTAAATGGCACTACATCTATAAAACATAGCCCAGAGCCTGGGACCCTGAAGACTCTCAGTGAATGTCAGTGGATTCTGAATCTACTCTTGAAAACACTCTTATGTATTCAGAACACTGCAAGACTTGTGAAGAGCAGGAGTGGAATTGTTAACTTGATTCCCATTGAGGGGCATAGTGCCTGCTTCTGATTCACCAGACAAATCTATGAAAACCAATTCATGTCCCAAAATATATATATATATATAGTCCAGAGTTAAAACTGGGTTGAAAATTATTTTGCTTCTCAGTGCTTAGGCCTCTTCTGAGAGACCACACCCATATACCATATACATGGTAAAATCGAGCCTGGGTCACTGTCTTCCCTTCAGATTTGGGAAACAAGGAACAGAGAGATCTGCAGGATGTTGGGGTGAATGGGTTAATTGGCTTCACCTTTCAGACAGGTCAATGCAAAGGCACCCTTCCAGCCACAAGGAACCCTAGCCACGCAGCCTTACTTCACTCTCGGTCAGGAAGAATTACAATTCTGAGCAGGTTCAAAGATCAGTGGTCTGGGCCAGCTAAAGACACCATTACTTCAG